ACACACACACACACACACACACACACACTGACTTGCATTGATTTCCTAGACACTTACTCTAACCTTAAACATAGTTACTACTTGCCTAACTCTAATTCTAACCCTCTAACTAAAACATAAAGTTAAACCTAACCTTGAGTTAAACCAACCTAAGCTAAACCTTTTCCTACTCTAATCTAACCTAACTTTATCCTAAAACTAAAACCTAGACCTAACCCTAATCTAAACCATAATTTGAAATGTATTGATTTACATAATCTTTTTACCCCCCATCAGATACTGATGCATCCTCCTCCTTTAGGAGGTGACCAGCTCTCTTTCTCCTCCCCCGCTTAATTAAATTTTTTCTGCTTCTCGTCCACCTCTTTTCATTCTGCCCTCCACTCTTCCTGGTGTTGTCTTCCCACCTTCCCCTCTATCCCTCTTCTCCCTCCTCTTTCCCCTCTCTCCGGGCTTCTGTCGTTCCATATTTCTTTCACTCCAGTTCAGATGCCTGCAGTCGGGCAGGGCCAGAGTGGCAGTCAAGTGGAGAAATGGACCACAAATAGCGCACACAGACACACACACACGTTTATGTTGGTGTGGGTTGCAGTGAATGAAAGAGAAATGGGATACAGGAGAATATAAAATAATCCCACTGATGTTTCCACTAGTGTGTAATCTTCTAAATTGTACAAATTGTTATGTTCATATGAAAAAGAATGAGAAATATTTACATGGGGAGCGGGTCCTCTCTACGGAGGCTGCCATGTTTTTATATTAGTCCAAACTGGATAAACTGAAGGCTTCCACTGGTTCTCTTTCATGTTTGGAAGGGGAGGATGATCTGAGGGGTGTTCAGCTGCAACATTGCACCTTTAATTTAGCCCCAGAATAAAATTTTAAATTCTAGAAGTAGAATTTTAGAAGTAGTCTGATGGGTCCACTCTGATAAATCATAAATCTAATCAGATTACATCCCAAATTCAAGTCTGTGTTTTGATCTGGATCAAACCTTCAGTATGTTTCTTTACAGGCGATTCAGTTAATATCATTTGCCTTTTCTCTGCATATTTATTTAATTTAATGGAGCCAGTACAATAGTCTTAACAGGGTTTCATATCAAACTTCTCACCCTCCAATGTGTGTGATGTTTCATTTGTGCTCAGGCTCCTGTCGCTCTGCGAATGGCTAAAGAAGCGATGAACAAAGGCGTCGAGGTACACAAATGACTCATGAATCACACCTTCCCCCTATTTTTCATCAGTGACCACGCTGACTGAAATCAAGTCTCTTACAGGTTGACATCACTTCAGCGATGGCTATAGAAAGGATGTGCTATGCTCAGGTAAGACTCCCAGTGTGTTCTCAATGCGTTTATCAAAATTCTGGACGGACCATCAGTGCACGCATTGGTATAAACAAATGAACAGAATGAAGCTAGGTTGTCAGCTGTGATGCTGAATTAAAGCCTCGGAGGCTGTCTGCAGTCGCATCATCATTGTCTGGCCGCTGTCGCACGGCTCTAACCTTTGCCCTCTCTTGTCAGGTCATCCCCACGCGGGACAGACAGGAAGGGATGGCCGCCTTCATAGAGAAGAGACCTCCACGCTACACTGGGGAATAGACTCGTCTCAGTTATCATGTTTCTCTCTATGACCTCACGTCTGTTTGACCGTAGCATTACCACTCACTGACTGTACATATCCGCGCAGTACACATGACAACAATATTCTGATATTAACCCCATTGAGACAATAGCCTGGATAAGACACTGCCGTGAAAACAGCATTTCTGATTATCCTAACCTGAATAAGGTCGTGGATGGAATAAGCAATAATTGAATTAAGACGTGGAGTATTTTGACCTTTGTTGCACTATGTATACGTCCTATTTGCATTATAACATCCAATTGAAGTTGTCACAGCAATATGACACAGACATACAGCAATTAACTGCCTGAAGACTCATGCCCTGGGTTCCAATGTAAACAAGTAGGACTCATGTTCAACTCATGTGAACATAATCAAAATAATGTCTTCAGAATTCAGAATAAGGACAATAGTGGGAATATTGCTGTTCATGCAAACAGTTAGTGTCAACACATTCGTTTTAGTTGCTTTAGTAGTGATCTTTAGGATTAGACTGACAAATCACAATAGCGTTATATGACTGCCATGATTTTACCATTACCTCTTTATACTTTGATTTATAGTGACTTTATAGGAACATTATCTCTGGAAGAGACTGCATAAAAATGCAACACAAGTGTCATCTCCAGTTTATGGGAATGTACATTCTTTATTTTTCCAAACTTGAAAACGTGACTCTCAGCAGCAACATGACACCGTCAAAGCAGACATACAGCATATTTAACTGGTTTGCATTTCCTATCTGAATATATGAATTCAATTCCTGTTTTAAAAAACAAAACAAACCGCCTTTCATCCAGGGAGATGTTCAGGGGCTCAACAAGACAGTCCATCACTTCAGAAGGAGGAACAGAAAAGAACAACAAACATGTTCTGTGTCACCTGCAGCTCTTCATCAGCCTGGGAAAGAATTAACGAGGCCATAATTCACTGAGCAGATGAGCTGATGTGTGCTTTGCTAACTGATATTTTCTTTTTATTTAATTTTCTATGCAAGCATTGAGACCTGTCACTGTCGATACTGCTGAAGCCAAAATCCATGTTGGCTGGAAATTATGAATTTAAAGTGACATGTTGTTGTATCAAGCATTTAACAGCAGATTGTAACAGTGACATTAGTTTGGTTTGCATAGAGAATGGAGTCAGGTGAAGGTGGGCGTCAGGATCAGCTCTAACAGCCCATTCTCTGGACGACAAACCTAGTAAAATCCTGGGGGACACTAAATTCACACGAGTGGTTTCAGAAAAGAAAAATACCCCAAAATATTTCAACAAACCCGCTCTTTGTTCTGCAAGTTTCTCTTACTCAGAAACAAACAATGGAACATACAGTAAAATAATTTCCATGCAACCGGTGCAATCACTTTCTCTCACTTTTTCTAATATGTACAAATGACAGTCTTCAAGATGCTGATACTTGTACAGACGTACATACACACATGCTCAAAGAGAAGTGATGTATCTGTCTTTATAACACCTAACATACCAATATATATACACCAGTTTTTCAAATTTTCTTAATACATATCTGTACAACCAAAATGACTTTGAATAATTATTGCCATTTGTGTCCAGAGTGGAAATTTGCACTTAAACCAGAAATAATTGAGTGTAGTACTTTTAATTTCAATAAATCATGTGAGACCTACTCTGAGTCGTTTGATTTATAGCATCTCTGGCTTGCTCGCGGATTCAACTGACCTGGGGCTGCCAAATGTTTTTAAAAGAAATAGCACTGGAGCTTCTTCAAGAGACATAACTTCTCTATAATTTAGGTTTTCATCTGTTATGTCTGGAACATTTGAACCCACTGAACATACCCACGGCAAGTGTCCTGTCACATCAAATCAAAAGCATTAGCTGATAAAAAGACTAAATGAAGAGGAGAGCAACAGTAGTGTTGCAGACCCAGAGGCGTTGGGTTTCAGTGAACGGAGCACTGCTATAAACAAACAGGCAGGCATCTCTACAATGAACAGCACAAGAATTTGGACTAACTCCAGCATGCTCGAGTTCAAAGTGGTGTCATGCGTATATTTAATGAGCTGATCAGAAGCAGAGCCCTCAGTGATAGTACAGGGGGCTAGAGAGTGGCAAGAGCCTTGGATAAAGTTCATAGGGTTTCCTAAACTGAGATTCGTATGTGTGTGCACCAACATGTTTTTGGTGTGAAAATCATCAAACACAGGCCTCATGAGATTTGAGCTTAATTGACCAACCGTTTATCATAATTCAATTTTTTATAAACATTAGCACACAGAAATATTCTTGTTTGAAACAAACACAAAGAAAATAAATAGGGTTAGTGTGTGTGCAAAGAATTGCGTAGTCTCTGTCCTTTCATCTAGACTTTCTGAGGATTCTTGATAAAGTATGTTTGTACGATAGATACACATACCACAGACACACACGCACACATACAGAATCCCCTTAGTGGTGGCGGCCCCCCTCCCTTTGAAGTGTCTTTTTTCTTGGTCAGGGAGCTTTGTTTTCTGAAAGAGGAAATGTAAAAGAATGAAAAATCCACAGCCAGTGTGCGATTAAATAGCAAATGACCAGTCGTGTGTCTTTACCTCTGTGAGGTTATTGGGGTGGTGGGCGGCGACTTGCTTGCATCTGCGAGTGTGCTGGCTGGCCGGTACGAGCTCTGTGGCGCTGCAGGCTCTCCAGAATGCTCTCAGTCAGCAGTTTGACGTCTTTGTGCGTCTGTGGGTTTGTGTGGACGTTCTCCAGCTGCTGCAGGCCACCCTCCTCCAACAACATGCTGCAGTAGCGAGCGGCTGCAGATATAAGGGTTAACACAATATCACATCTGTGATCGGTTTGGGTCGGGGAACATGCGTATTAAAATGTACAGTATCTGTGCCTCACCGTTCTTGCTGCAGACGTGCTGCATGGCCCATGCAGCCCACAGCTGGACACCAGGGGTGTGAAAACACTCCAGAAGAGGGAAAAAGGGGTTAAAAGACCTGCAGAATCAGAGAATGTGATAAGTCGCAGTCGTAGGCTAAGGTTTTCACAACTGGTTGACGTTTATACATATACATAGAATCAATGCTGTAGGTTCTGCATACCCTTCACTGTAAACTGATACTTCCCTAGAAGTGCAACTACACTACACGTGAGGCACATCACTGCGATGACAGTTCCACTCATTGCATTTCCTGCTACATCTTTCAATGACTAGTCAAGCACAGAAAACCAGCTTCACCCTCCTCTTGCCTCAGACAGTTCAGTGATTGTACACACCATCTCCTTACTGTTGTTAAACCTTTTTTTTTAAACTCCAAAATGATCTGCTCATTTGTGGCCGCCTATACTTGAAGTGCACAAACGAACCTCAACACAGTGGCACAGAAACTCCACCACCTACTAGCGTTTTAGTGGCACAATGGTTAAGGCCACTTGCATTGACTACAGTGCAAGATCTGCATTGATCAAATGCAAAAGTGCAAACTGGTTCACAGACTGCATGGGATTTATTGCATTTAACTCACTCAAGGTTTTCAATGTGTGCATTAGCGATTCCCTAAAATTCTCCTCCCACTTGAGCTATTTAGTTTATCAAGTCTATTATTGTCTCTGCAAGAAGAAAAAAACGTTTGGATGGAATTTCAACATTCCAAAGACAACTTATTTAGCAAATTTGACCATAGGTTTTCGTAAATTGTTCCATCCAAATTTAGATTATTTATGAAAACAAATTATACAGACTTGATATAGGTAATACGTCCTTCATTGTTTAGTATGGGCCTACTTGTATATGTGCAATTAGATTCTTTCCTTTTTATAATTACTAGTTACTCACTGTTCTAAATCTGTCTGTTTGGAATGGGCTGCTTGTTTGGCCTCTGGTAATGCTGCTTGCAGCTGTCTCTCCGAAATTGTAAAAGTGACCTGCAGTAAATGAGCCAAATCAAGTAAAGACTCAGTCCACAGAACCCTGAAGCTGCACCACCTCTGCGGCACAAAGAGCTGTTCACCTAATACGAGATATGCAAGCCACATGCAGACAGAGAGATTTCTGAAATTATTAGGTAGATTTAGACGCTGCTGCTCACCTGTATGCTACCATTTCACACTCTGGTGGGGGCCACTTCATAATGACAGCATGCTGGAGAGACACACAATAACACAAACATCAAATATACTTATAAAAATAACTGGGAACAGTATCTATAAGCATGAGTTGAGTAAATGTTTGTATAGCTCATTCCCACCAGTTGCTCCAGTAGTGTGGATCGAAGCTCGGTGCTGAGTGTCCAGGCCTCCTGTCCTCGTGACGTCAGATGTGCGAGAATGCCCGCGGCAAAGTAGCTGACCTCCACCTCTGGGCTGTGCAGCAGAGTGCTGATGTGGTCCAGGAACCCCTGCACCATCAGCTCTCCGTGCAGCTCCCCGACCTCTGCTATGTTGTTCTACACAAACAAAAGGCGAAAAGAGAATAATAATGTCTCACTGATTTTTAATATATTACTGCAGTTTTTCTGAGGGGTAAAAACAGAGCAGTGAACTCACCAGTAGACCGAGAACCTTCTGCTGAATAGAAGACTCGTTGGGGAAGGACTGCATGGAGCACAGAGGGTGTGTGGGGGAGGGGGTAATGGAAACAAAAGAACAGTGAGTCAGTCTGCCCCTAAGGCATACATACCTGAGTGGTACATGATGTGATGATAGGCTGATAAGGTAATCTGTTCTAAGTTGTTTCACTTATTTACATACGCGTCGACATATCTGCGTACCTCTAGAACTTTAATAAACAGGTCCAGCCCCTGGTTCTCGATGAAATGGCGGCAGGTTGTTGGTGACTCATCGGTGAGGTTCCAGAGTGCGCTCAGTGTAAATTTGAGGGTGGCATCCACCACGCCCTGAGTGGCCTTCTGACGCACAATGTGGAGCAATTGCTGCAGGGAAGGGAGAGAGATTCTTTTTTCCTTTTTTGCTAAATTAGTGACGGTGAAAGAGAACACAGCTGAAGGGAGAATCTTACCTTCACTATGAACAGCTCTGCTCCCAGTTGAGCTGTTTGTTCTGTGGACAACTGGAGAGAGAGCACAGATTAAGATGTTTAAAACCTACAAATGGGCACTGAAAGAATAGAGTGAAACAGTGACCGCTTTTAGAACAGATCTGGTTCCTGAAGTAAATTTCCCATTCGTTTTATCCAATGATGTTTCAGAAAATCCTACTAAAAGAGTTACTAGTCTGGTACCAAGCCGACCAGCTATGAGATGATCAGTGGGCAAAAAACATTTAATTAAGAGTAAAAAAATAAAAATAATGGAAAATGGAAAAACCGCAAAAGGTGTAAGACTAGTTATATTAATTTGTTAAGAGTGAAGGAACTATACATGCAAATGATCCCTTTCCTACAGTCCAGTGAATTTCTTCTTGAATTTAACCTGGTTCTAGTGATTTACACTCCTTTGGAATCTTTTCCACATCTCACAAAAAAAAAAAAGCAGCATGTTAAAAATGAAATCATGGTTGCTCTGTGGTAAACGTAATGCAACGCTGAACCACCCTATTGCAGCTGACGTGATTTTTTGTGGGAAACATAGTAAGAGCAAGCTCCACCAATCACAGCATTCACAATTGTACTAGAGGATTCTGGGTAGTGCAGTACTTCCCCTTGAAGTCAAGAATAGAACAATTTATGTAAAAAACACAGTGGATATCATAAGAACATGCGGCTTTTACAGGAGCATATCAAATCTTTTCACAATCTCCAAATCTTTTTTTTTAACTTCCAAAACCACGCTATTGAGCTCTTTAACAGTATATGTGATATAATACAACATGAAATGAACCTTAGCAGCCAGTATGGAAATAATAGCCACAGCCATCCTCTGCATATTCTGGTCTTCATGGTTGCAGAGCCACTGCATCACTAGTTTAGCAGCTTCAAACCTTTAAAACAGAAAGACAAATCTACTGTAAACACACCATTCCTTTGATACATTATGACCTGACAATCATGTTGTGTTCTAGTTCCCTGCTTTGCTTTCACTGATGCATATTCACTGTTTCAAGCTTTTACATTCCTGTTTAAATTACTTTGTAACCATACAACTACAAAATGTGTATTTCACACCTGTTGAATGGAACCTCCTGCAAGATGCGGTCACTGCACAGGGACAGCAGGCAGTTCTTCTGCAGCTGTAGACACAGGAACCAAAGTGGAGATCAGTGTCAGATCTGCAGGCTCAGTAAAACATGTAGACAGAAATAATCTTTTACGTCTAAATTGGAACCTGCATGGTTCAAAAATGAGTCTCAAATTTCACGTTAACATTATATGTTCAGTTCTGCTTGTGCCACCTTAGTACAACTGCTTCATAAAATATTTATAAACTTTATCTATATTTGCCTTTTTGAAGACTTTATCTCCAAACCAAGAGGGAAGATTCTACCTTAGCTGTGGGACGTTACTCAAAACATCAGACTGTACATGTTGTAACAATCGATAGTAGACAGTTTTACAAAGTTTTATATTTTGAAGAAAAAAAATAGTGCTGATAGTTGCTATGAACTGATAATGCCCCAAAAAACATTACCTCAACAATGGAGGTTAAGTTTTTTGACGCTGTCTGTTGGTTGGTTGATTTGTCAGCAGGGTTATGAAAAAAGAACTCCACACTTTGTGGAGAGGTCCAGACAAAGGGGCAAAGATTTTCTTTTCTTTAAAAATGCACATTTTTTTGACATTTTAACCAATTTCCCAACAAAAACTCAGGGCATTGGAAGTATGCACTTCACTGTGCTGTGATTCAGTATCAATTGTGATATCACATTTCATCCATTAGAATAACTTCTCCATGGACAGTTGTATGCCGTTTTTTCTAAAAGTTCCATCTGCTTGTGAACCTAGCAGGTGAAAAAGACCTGGAAAATGCTGTCATTGTTTTGGTTCATCGTGACCTGGTGGGCTTGGGTGACCCTAACCCTATGGATGTGCCGCTATGAAACGGTGCAGGTATGACAGTACCTGCTGGTGGTTTGGGAAAGTCCTCATGGCCTCCAGTAAGAGCTGAGTGATGGTGCTCAAGAGTCGAACTGGCATCCCTGCTGCCAGGTCCTGCTTTGTCAGGTTGAACACACAGGCACTTGCTGCCAGCTGGACATTCAGAGTGGCAGGATGATTCTTCATACCCAAAACTACCAACTAGAAAATAAAAACAAGAGAAAAAGGGAGTAATACCGTGTTTGAGAGTAATGAGGAACTTGAAGTGTGCAGAACTGTAGTGGGGATGTAGGACATAAACGTAGAAACGTGGCTGACACTTCAATGATTGTTTGATAAATATATTATTAAAATTATCTGACATTATTGATGAGGCATTTCTATCTATAATTATGTTGGTTTACCTTTAGGATGTCAGGCCGTGGTTTCTCCATGACATGGGTCAAACTGAACAGATGAAACAGAGCTTCTCTCACAAAACCCTCCCTCTCACCGTAGCGACGCAGAGCCTCACAAATCTGGGTCTCATTTGCTTCGCCTGTGACCTGTCGACATGCAATAAGATTGTTTAGTGGATCCCAATTCTTATGTACAGTAATCAGTGTTGATGTACACATCTACGTATGCTACCTTCAGACTTCCTTCTCCAGAGAGGAAGTCAGAAAAACCAGCATCTGTGGCCAGAAGTCCCACAAAGGTCATCCCTGGTCTGTCCTCAACAAATGCTTTAATAGCTGCATCTGTAACCTGCAACATTCACACATGTAAGAAATCACAGCTTGACGATTGCAATCTCAATCAAGCACTCACAGACAAATGCAAACGTAAATACCTGTTTCCTGCCCGACACATCCAGGGAGACGAGAGCAGGCAGGATCCCTGGCTGTCCAAGCAGCTGACGAGCCACATCAGAGGTAAACTGCTTATCATCACTGATGTCCAGGTGCTGCATGGCAAAGGGTCACAAAGATCACAAGAGCCCAAACACAAACAAACAAAAGACTTGGGGAATCTCAGCGACAGTAATCTTTTCAATAACCAAATACCAACTAATTTGAAAAAAAGACAACCTTCCACTCACCTGCAATACATCTAGCTGGCGTATGACTCCCAGCAGCTGAGCAGTGCTCATTTCCAGCCTCTTCAGCTGGTGCAGTGTCAGTGAACGCAGCCGATCCTTCAGGCCCAGCAGTGGAGTGAGGTTGGTGATTGAGGTGTTGGAGATATCGAGGCTCTCTAATCGAGGTAGGGAACACACGTCGACCAGCCCAGAGTCATAGAAGTCTACATTGGCAAGAGAGAGGGAGCGGAGGCCCTGGAGGGAGCTGAAGCGATACCGGATTGGTTCCTCCAGAGAGGACATGGTGAGACCTGTTAAGCCAAGACGCTGGAGGGATTCCTGCAGGGTGTTTAAGAAAAAAAGAAAAGTTGTAATTTTAACATGGAGCGAGGGAAAAAACTAACAACTCAACATACTCTCTCTTTACCTGACAGAATTTATTGGAGGCCAGTCCCTGTAGGATATCATGAATAGTGAGGTCTGCATTGACCCTGGCAGCATCCAACTCCAACAGTTTGTGGGGACAGAGAGCTTTCTGGAATGCCTCAGCAGAGATACGCGCTGTGCGGATGCAGGCCCGTCTCAGCCGCAGGTATTCAGAGTTCCGAAATACACCCACTGTGCTGTCATTCAACAGACCTGTAGAATAATGACGTCAAGTCAAATATAATCTTTGGGTCCGTTCAGGACCAATCAGGACTGAGCTCTGCACTATAGTACTTTGATTTCCTATATCAAAGTTTTGGTGAGAACATACCATCAGATTAATGCTTTGTTCAGACCTGGTACTAACATCTGTTCTTAGAGATCTGATCAAAGAGAGTCAAGTTCATCTGTTCACTCCTAGAATTAAAATGCATCCTGAGTGCTGTGAGCACCTGTGATTAGATCTCACTTCCCTGCTCTTTATGCAAATAGTCACAACTGCTATTTGTGTTCACAAAGACCAAATGTGTTGTTATAAGCCTGTTTGGGTTTACAGGGTTTGAGGACATGAATTGAGTATGTAGTCCTATTATACATTATATAATAATTTGCATTCACACAAAAAGAATGTCACCACATGCACCCCAGACCACCTCTGAATGTGGTCAGAGTGATCATATCTCAGGACACATCATGACGTACTTATTGCTGACCACTTGTGATCGAATCACTCCAAATGGATGTTAATACCAGGTTTGAACAGTGTCTAAGAGGCTCACTGATTTCATACATTTATCCATTTTTCTTGAAGGGGAATAGAAGCTGTTGAGAGACACTCAAGGTACCTTTGTTTTACTGACAGTGATGGATCAGCTTGTTAGTTGACTGTTCAACTAGTGAAAGATGCAGTAACTATAGTGGGACTCAGCCATGACCAGCTCTGTCTGTCCATCAGTGTCTTTTAGGGGACCAGGTTTACCTTCAGTGGCCATCTTCGCCAGCAGCTGGTCTGCTAGCTCCTGTGGGAAGAGCACAGCCTCTCTGAAGCACAGGGAGCCGTCAGGGCGCTTCACGGAGAAACAGTCCAGGTTCTGGCTCACGTATGTCAGGCACAGGTCTGTCAGAGCCGCGGGGGATGACTCATCCTGAAAACAGAGGAGTGGTATTGTTAGCTTCTGTAGAGGTATTCAGTTGGCAGTAACAGTGCATGTGCTAAGTGCTTTCTCCAGAAATGACATGAGCATAACATAACGTAGCATGGCACAACTTACCGTGTTTAGCAAACCGCAGGCCATGGTCATACTTTGCAAGAGGTAAATTAAAATAAACGAACTCTAGTTTTAGCTTATGAAAAGGAGACTGGTGTCTTTTTTCGCCACCGCTTCACTCGCTAGCCGTGCAGCGGCTCCGTGTGTAGCCCGACTCTATACTAATCTGTTAGCGGCGGAGCAGCTAGCTAGCTCACTTGTTTTCGCCTCCGCTGTGGAAAGTCGCTCCCCGAGCAAACATGTCGACAGGAAGCGGTTGTGTCAGAATTCATGTTCGAGAGGTATCGACTAATCACTGCAGGTGACCGAAGATCTGGAAACGAGGAACCGGATGGAAGAAGGTTTTCGTTTTCGCACAGAGACGTTGGTGCTATTTTCTGACCTGACAGACGATAAACACAGGTCACAGCACCGGAAGTACATTCTCAAAGGGGGCCGGGCTACGGAAGCCTGTGAAGTCGTCTTATGAAACCAGGAAGTCACACGGACGTGTCCCTCTTCGGGATTCAAGAGCAACCTGACATATGAGGAACTGTAGTGAGCGTCTATAAAAACCTTACCTCTGACTGTAATGAGTTCTGATCAGCTGTTTATTGTGAGGAAACTCTTCTCTGACATCGCTCCCGAACTCGCTCATCAAGGTCACAAGTAGCAGTGGATGTGGCGAGAGCTCAGCCTGCAGCACACGTGGTTTATTTGAGGGTTAAAACGCACAGGTGTCGGCGGAAACATGGCGGGACTTGTGAACTTTAAGGACGAGAAGGAGGTGAAGGAGTTTCTGGACAACCTGGGGGTGGAGTACAGCTTCCAGTGCTACAAAGAGAAGGACCCTGAAGGTAACACGACCTGCGCTGTTCACACATCAGTGGTGCTGAAAGTCAGCTGGAGGTTTGAGCTGTGTCATCGCTGACCTGTTTTTCTTCCTCTCAGGCTGTCAGAGGCTGGCAGACTACATGGATGGGGTGAAGAAGAACTACGAGTCTGCAGCACAGGTGCTCAAACACAACTGTGAAACTAATGGACATGGAGATAGCTGCTACAAACTGGGGGCCTACCATGTCACAGGGAAAGGTACGACAGCAGCGTGGCTTACTTTCATAAATTCACAGGTGGACAAATACCAAATTATGATGTGATATTTGAGGAGGAAATGGAAAGCGCTGAATCTTTGCTTGAATGTGTTGGACTAAAATTACGACATTAAGTAGTCAATGTACTTTTTGATCAACAATTGTATGGCTCTACAACAGTTACTGGTTACAGTGCAAGATAAAGTTGTCAAGGCCAAAAATATTGCAAATATTAGCTGTTTAATATGAATTGTCTGTCTGTCTGTCTGTCCATCCATCGACCAATGTCCTTTGCCTTGTCTGGTTTTCATTTTCTGGTTTTACTTATTCTTTTCAACCCTTCAAGTTGAAAAGTTCTACATATATTATTACTATTCTCATTCTTCTTCTTCTTCTTCTTGTTATTATAATATACCACTTATCCTGTAAGGGTTGGGTGAGAAGTGGGGTTTATATGTCTTTGGAGTGTCGGAGGAGGCCGGAGTACCCAGAGAAAACATCAGCAGACACGGGGAGAACATGCAAACTCCACATAGAAAGACCCCTGGCTAAATTGGGATTTAAACCAAGACCCTTAATGTGACACTAACCACTGGTCACCTTTTTATTTAGATGTTTATATAAATGTGTATAGTAGTGTATCTTATGTTAAATGACCTAATCACTTATGGAAAGGAGGGGTTGAAATACATTTTAACTTACTCTGCATCTCTGTCACCCTCCTGAACCTTTCACCAGGTGGAGTGACCCAGTGTCTGAAAACTGCCTACTCTTGCTTCCTTCGCTCTTGCCACACTGGAGGAAAGAAGTCTATAGATGCCTGTCACAACATTGGCCTGTTAGCCCATGATGGACGAGCTATGGAGGGAGGACCCGACCTTAAAGCCGCACAGCAGTACTATGAGAAGGCCTGTGCTGGTGGCTTCGCTCCCTCGTGCTTCAACCTCAGTGCTTTGTTCATTGAGGGTAATTCCAAAGGAATTGAGCCAGACATGACTCAAGCTTTAAAGTTTGCTCACAGGGCTTGTGAGCTGGGACATGTGTGGGGCTGCGCCAATGCAAGTCGCATGTACAGACTCGGGGACGGAACAGAGAAGGATGAGAAGAAAGCAGAGGACCTGAAGAACCGAGCGAAGGAGCTTCACACACAAGAGAAGGAGAGGCAGCTCAAGTTTGGGGAGTGAATGTGACACACTTTGTTATGTCATTGAGGGGAGTTGTTCAAAGGTTTGAAGGGATCTGATGTTAGTTAAATAGCAGCCTATAGACCATGAAATTCAGTGAGCTGTGGCAACTTGAGTATGAGTAGAGTTCATCAAAATGTGTTCAAGAGTTATAAAAGTAATAAAGTATTTTGTTAATCCATCCACTATGGAGAATGTGTATGACTGTGTGTTGATTTCTTGTCAGCAGGATTACACAAATCTACTAAACTAATTCCCACCAAACTTGGATGGGGCCTGGGCCTGAGAAGAACCCAGTACATTTTGAGATGGATGTGGATTACGGGACAAAACCATGATTACTTTTTCTTCTCCGCTTTATTTTAATATATTTATGACAAATAATTGAAGTTACCAGACCACTTCTTTAGTCTTTTATATTTCTTGTAATAGAACTAGGCAATCATGCTTGAGCAGATTTAAATATTTCTATAGAGGGGTACTCTTCTCTTAGCCATAAACCTGCAACTAGCACTCATGTGTAGCTGAGATCATATGGATTCAGGAAGGTAAAATGGCTGTGGTGTATCTCTCATAGTTTTATAGTGTAAACAAACAAGTATGACATATTTTGAATATTTTTTACATCTGATAATATAACTCATCAGACCCCTCCTATTTGCTTTAATATTTCTTTTAAAAGAACAAGACAGAGGGACACTATCGTCTGTGAATTTTAATATAGAAATATCATTGCACAGGCTACAAGTCTAAAATGTATCTTTAAACCCCATAGATTATCATATACCAGCCTTCATGCAGGACTGTGCAGTACATCCATTGTGTGTTTGAGATTAGTACAGGGTATGTTGTTAATAGAAATCCGAATTTCAATTTATTTCCAGCATAGAAATTGACAAACTTGTGGATCATTGCAGTGTGGCCTCATATTGTAAAGCTCTAAAAATTAGTTTCCATCAATGGTGTGCAAATCAGAACATAAATTTGAATTGATATATTTGACAGTGACATATTTAACTCATGTATTTGGCATATCAATTCACAAATGTTTAATAAGACAGTATTGTGTTGACATTTTATCTGCACCCCCACCTCTTGACCTAATAATAATAATAAAGCACAGACGCTGCTGTGGGCACTATGGTAGTTGCACCACTAGGAGGAGTCCGAATCAAGGACATGAACTTTGCGCCCTTTTTAACTCTCACAGCGCGCGTCACCCTGAGGTCACTACAATAACCAGAGGTAAGATATCCGTCTGTGCTGAACCCTCTGTATTATACTGGACATGTGGACATGCTGAGGACACGCACACAGAATCCATCCGTGTATAAAGAGCTAAACGGCTTCAGGGTGATGGGCGGACCGGTCGGGAAGCTCCGCCCGTCCGCCGTGCGTCTCCTCAGCCCTCACTCAAAACAGAGGACAGCTGTTGCGAGGCGCATCGTCGTGTCCTGAGCCTCGAGCCTTGTTCGCACCGTCTTCTCCTCTCATGCGCCCGCTGGAATATCAGCAGAAGACAGAGGAACACTGCGCACTCCGGTGAGTCACTGAGCAGCACGAGGCTGACCTTTGTTATCGTCCGCGGCATCGGTTTTTTTTACAGAAATCCCTCCGTAGCCGTTGATGTAGCTAGCTAACGTGTCGGTAAGCCCCGCGCACTGGCTTGGGTGTGTTTGTTTTTATACGCAGGGTGCCCCCCGTATAATTCGGCATCCTCAAGAGGAGGGGATGCGAGGGAAACGATGAGCTGATACAGGAGCTGCTCCTACTGTAGCTGGGTGCTGTAACGTAAGTCAGCCATTGCTGTAATTTGCTCCTCCACCCACGTGAAGACACAGTCGCCGCACCGCACACCGAGGAGTTTGATACAACGCTCGTAATAAATCATGCGCTCCCTCGCCGAGCTAACGCTTTAAGCTAACGAAAGGTGAGGCACGCTAACGCAGGAACCACGGGGGGAAAGAGAGGGGAGAGTCGGTGAGTTAGCATGTTGAGATTTCTCTGGTGCAGTCTGGTTGTGTTTACTCGAGTCCCCTGCACAGTTTGTTTGTGTTTAGGGACACGGGGGGTTCATGTCGACCCGTTTTCTTCCTGCTAGCCCCGTGGAGCTCATGTAGCAGCCACTGCGGGCTCTGTGCTCCGAATAGCTCATTGGCGATGAACCCCCTGCACGGTTACCCTCCTGGGAGTGTTTTGGGTGTGGCGTGGGTTCACCCACGAACAATACTGTGTGCAGTCTGTCTTGTCTCAGAATGGGAACCGAGGACGTGCCGTGAGGGTGTTTTTGTGTCTAGTGATCTGCAGTCTTCGACCCATATGGCCCGATATGACTGAAATGAGGCAAAGTTTTAGAGCTTGAGAAAGAGAGGACCCCATTCCAGGCTCAGCTGGTTGGTATTTATTACATACACATTTCACTAACACCACTCAACAAGTCACTGTGCCTCATAGCTATCTACCTCCTTGGATGTAGTCTAATGTTTGGATTGAATATCAGTTCAAAGTGGAATGTTACAGAGCTCCACCAAGGCTCAAAATCCTCCTATGAAACCTCATAAGTGAACTACATTTTTGGATCTGCAGCAAAATAAAACATATCCTGTTGAATTTCAGTTTTTCCCCAGTGAGACCCATGAATGATTCTCTGAGAAACCAACAAATATGTTAAAGTGCCCTTCAGCAATGTTAAGGAACGCAGCGGGAAAAGTGCTGGATGTGCACCCTTAATATGGATCATCACCAAAATGTAATGGGTTCTTTCCTTACCCACGTCCCATCCTGCCACCAAGTTTCATTGAAATCTTTTCAGCTTTATTGTGTAATCTTGCTTACAAAGAAGTGGACATGTGTGCAAAAATACCATCCTTGGAAGAGGCTATTAGAGTCACCTTATTCTTTTACATCTAACGATCGATCTTTTGCTTATATCACAGATCAAATGAAGCCATGTTGATCCTCTACTGATAAATTAATCTGTGTCAGTGGTCTGATAGCAGTGGCCACAGTTGCATGTTAATTTGTGAGCCCAGGAGTGTCTGAATATATACACTAAGTTATCTAAGATCACACATTGTTCACACATGAGAAAGTGTTCCACTTGAATAGTTGTCAAGCAGATATGGATTTAATCTGAATTCACTGCTTATTCGGTATTAGCCTGCCTTTTTTTCTTTTCCAAAGCCTCCTCTGCTCAGCCCTCCCACCAAACACACTCGGTGTCCTGTGTGTCGTTGCTCACTCCATTTTAAAGGGCTCCAAGGAATGTTCCATATCGATATTTAGTATGGCTGTGTGGAGCTGCTGTTCTCAACACTTAACATATGACCCACAGTTCACCGGTTCAGACTCATGACTTGCACGCCTTTACAGTGCTGTGGGGTTGTGTCATGCAGGGAAGGTGGATACAATCTCATTTTGCTCCGACTGCCTCCTTCAGTAGTGGAATAGATACCGGATGTGTGTATTCATTAGTTACTATTAGAGATTGTAGTCATACCAGTTCTGTAAGCATTGTATGATTGAGTGGTCAGATAATACTGTAGTTAAAGTTTAGCCCTAAATAGGAGATGAAACGTAATTCTTTCCCAATGTTGGAGGCCCCCTGTTTGTCCATATGTCAGTGAAGGAATCTGTTTGGAATTCCTTTTGGTTTTTACTTCATCTAATTCAGACTGAGCCCCTGAGAATGCTGGAAGGGTTATAAATTATCAGTGAAAGCCTTGTCTGCAGGTCAGTGGGTGTAAGGGCTTAGGTTTTAATCCAATAAAATATGGTTGATAAAGTATCCTGTCCAGTGTGGGACTAAAGAAACACAAGAACCCCCTGTACGCCTATTTACAAATTCTGCATTGAAATATAATTTTATCATTATCTTCGTTTCTCAAACAAAAACATCAGGTTGCAAACAATAACCATAGCTTGCCGATTGAAACAGTGATAACCTGGAGGTTTTATTGGAGCTCACCTGTTTAGAGAGATATTTATTTTTAATTACACCACTTTGCCAATTACACAATCATCTACAGCTAAGTGCTTTTTCTTTTCAAGGACGTACGTCAACGGTTCTTAATTCAAACGTGGTCGAGTTGTATTCAGAGGGAGAAAATCATTCGGACGATAATGCAGCTTCAGTTTTCCATCTCTGAATGATTACAACTCCCTCAGCGTCATTTAAGATCTATAGTGACTTTTAAAAAACAGTTCCCTCGGTAACTCTTCATACCACCTCCATCTTCCGAGCTGGGCTAATCCCAGAGATGCCTTGTGTACGTGGGCCCATCTGTTCAGCTCTGTGGTGTAGCTGCTCTGTCCAAGGCCTGCAAATGTGATTAGTTAGAGATTACATCTGTGTGTGTGTGTGAAATGAAACTCCCCTCTCAGAATCTGAGCTGTGTGTTTGTAAGGGAAAGGGCTAAATCGCCATAGGGCTTTTGCATCATCGGGTTCAGCCCTTGGTGTTTCAGAGGGTATGTTTCCCTGCTCTGCATTGCATCATGTTCACTTCATAGTTCATATAAAATCCTCCTTCAAGCTGCAATCTTGTATCCTCCCTCCTGGGTCCTATACATATTCTGGAGGCGTTTTTGGTCTGCAGCAAGTTTTTTTTCCTCTGCGTGACCTCCTATCGGTGCTTTTACTCAGTTGCCAAGGTAACTTGATGCATTTGTCTGGCACGTCCATGCAGCACAGATGGAACTGCGAAGTCACATGTTGTAACATTCTTCCTCTGATGCCTTCCCACCCTCGATTCTGTCACTATGAGAACAAATGCAAAGTTGGTTATCTTGAAATTTTCTGCTCAGGTTTTGGTGTTGGCTCCACAAAGCCATCACTAACACAACTTGGAGTAATATAATAGGTCCCTGTGCCTGACAAGCTGTTTTTAAACACTGATAATATTATGGCATACAGTCGTGTTTGATAAAGAGTTTTTATATATGAGGTGTTTCTTGTTGCTGGCAGTTGGTTGAAGTGGGTGTTGTGGATGTGAGCTTAGGTAGCACCTGATTAGCTGACTGTGTGCATGACTATGTGTGAGAAGGAGATAAATTACAAGGATAATGCACGTCCTAGTGTTTACGTAAGAGATCTGAGTGGCAAGCTGTACTTCACTACGTAGATATGCAGTTTTTTCTTTGTCCACAGAAGAACATTTGAGGAAGTAGTGCAAAACTGCCTCTTCTTATTGTTCTGAGTCTATTTACCGGGTGGTTCCTCCAGTGTTGTAATCACAGCCGTTCTGAAGGGGAAGTAGATGCCACGGAGAACAATCAGACACAAACGGTGTTGAAACAGATACTGTCCATAGTGTCACATGTGACTGATTGCTCAATCAAACCCTGCTAAATACACACCACAATAAGGTGAATAGTGGCAAGAGGTCTAGAGCTCTGAGGATGTTTAGGAGTTAAACCACTAGTGGGAGAGGACTCACACATGAAGGGCTGAACAGCAAGCCAACCACTGCACAACTTTGCCGCCCTTATTCCCCTGTTCTCTGTCTACTTTGTGTGGCTTTTCTTTCAGTTTCTTTTCACTTTGCTTTCTTGTTGGGAGTAGGACCTTAAGCTATTACATTCCATAATGATATGTCTGCTTAAAGGGATAGAGTTAATTGAAAAATAAAAATATAAATGTCGTGGCTTGCGGACACTTGGAAGACACCACACAAACAGTATTGAAGCATGTTATGTTTTTTCTTTTATCTTATTACTTTTGAAGAAGCGGCTACGATTGACTTCAGTTGTATTGGATTTGGCTGCAACACTGTTTACCCCTGAGACTCCAGAAGTGGCAAAGCAAAAAAGGATTGCTAGATATAAAAGACAATCAGATGAATTGTCTCATCAAAACAAAACAATGGATCAATCAATAACAAACCATTTGTTGCAGTTTCATCTCCTGTTGACATGCATTGCTTTCATCAAACCACAAGCCCCCATTTCCTGCTTCCTCCTCCCCTTTTCTTGCTTTCTGGGGTCTTTTTTTAAACATGTCATACTAATATGGTTGCCAACTTTCAGTTCAAAATACAAGACAGTACCTCTGTCAAAGTAACCCTCATTTACAATATTGATAGTGTTAAACAACACATTAGTATAACTAGCATATACAGCCAAACTAATTCTGGGCCACATTTTGTGGTTTGTGACAGTTTTTGAAACTTGTGAGGGACATAAGATTGTTTTTTCCAAGCCCTACTTATAAGCAGGTCATGGTTTTATGTGCTGACCGAGCTGTCCTTATCTTACCTGAACTTATCGGTCATCATTGCTCTTTCACTGCAATTGCTCTCCAAAGGGCCTCCTAACTATTTACTGTTTAAAAAGTTGATGTCGGTCCTCAATATTTTGAATGTGAAGCTTTAAACAGGAGTTGATATCATATTTCTTCTCTAGACAGAAAAATTAAATATCAAAATATCCCCCAGACTCTAAACAGATCTTATCAAAGTAAAAACCTGGCTTTGTAGTGAGCAGATTGTGTCTTTGCTATTTGTTATGCTGACAAGTGGTAATTTTTCAGCCATCTGGTTTAAC